ACCACAACACACTAAACTGGCCATCATACACAGCCAGGCCATCAGATATCACCAAATATGCTCAGACCAGGAAGACAGAGATAAACATCTCAGGACACTAGCAGACTCCTTCCATAAGCTGGGGTTACAAGAACAAAACCATCAACACCGGAATAAACACGACCTTGAAAACCCAAAGAAAAAAATCTACTCCAATACAAAGTGAAGAAAAAAAAACAATTAAGTGTACCTCTAGTAACCACATATAATCCAGGGATAAGAAAGACAATCAAAGATTTACAACCCATTATAACAGAGGACGATGCTCTAATAGTGTCCCCCAATACTAGCTTTCCAACAATTACCTAACCTCAGACATAAACTAATAAACAGGAAACTCCACTTGGATAATGAAGTCACATATAATGGCAGCAAACCCTGCAATAAAAAAAATTCAAACTGTGCAACCAAATCAATCTATCTAAAAGTGTCACATACTCAAAGGGGACCTTCAATATCACCGGATCATACAGCTGCACCTCCAGTTATGTTGTGTACCTTATCCAATGCAAAAAGATCTATCAAAAGATCTTATGCTGGCGAAACAGAACAAAATTTACAAAAAAGGATGAACTTGCATAGGCACACCATCAAGGAGCATAAGGAAGACAGTTTCTGCTCATCATTCTGGGACATCATTTCTCACAACCAGACCACACTATGGAAGATCTCAATGTCTTAGTTCTTAAGGAGAATTTCAAAACTATTCAGAAAAGGAAAACTTTCGAACTAAGAATGATAGTTCTGTTTGACACAAATAATAATGGCCTAATTCTAGACCTGGGTTTTCTAAATCACTATCCAACAGTTTAAAGACACTCTCTGTGACTGTCTCCCCCCTGTCTATAGCTCCTTCTCTGTCTTACCTCACTAACTATGCTAGTTTAATTACCATTTCTGTGTACATTTGTTGTTTTTGTTTTTTTTCTCCCCCAGAGATTGTCTTATTTTAACATTCTGCTAAAACGTTGTGCATTAGTGCTGCTTGGACCTTTAAGAAGGGGTACACCTGAAAGCTTATCCTGAAAAATTGTACAGTCAGGTCCATAAATATTGGGACATCGACACAATTCTAACATTTTTGGCTCTATACACCACCACAATGGATTTGAAATGAAACAAACAAGATGTGCTTTAACTGCAGACTGTCAGCTTTAATTTGAGGGTATATACATCCAAATCAGGTGAACGGTGTAGGAATTACAACAGTTTGCATATGTGCCTCCCACTTGATAAGGGACCAAAAGTAATGGGACGATTGGCTTCTCAGCTGTTCCATGGCCAGGTGTGTGTTATTCCCTCATTATCCCAATTACAATGAGCAGAATAAAGGTCCAGAGTTAATTTCAAGTGTGCTATTTGCATTTGAAATCTGTTGCTGTCAACTCTCAAGATGAGATCCAAAGAGCTGTCACTATCAGTAAAGCACGCCATCATTAGGCTGAAAAAACAAAACAAACCCATCAGAGAGATAGCAAAAACATTAGGTGTGGCCAAAACAACTGTTTGGAACATTCTTAAAAAGAAGGAACGCACCAGTGAGCTCAGCAACACCAAAAGACCCAGAAGACCACGGAAAACAACTGTGGTGGATGACCGAAGAATTCTTTCCCAGGTGAAGAAAACACCCTTCACAACAGTTGGCCAGATCAAGAACACTCTCCAGGAGGTAGGTGTATGTGTGTCAATGTCAACAATCAAGAGAAGACTTCACCAGAGTGAATACAGAGGGTTCACCACAAGATGTAAACCACTGTTGAGCCTCAAAAACAGGAAGGCCAGATTGGAGTTTGCCAAACGACATCTAAAAAAGCCTTCACAGTTCTGGAACAACATCCTATGGACAGATAAGACCAAGATCAACTTGTACCAGAGTGATGGGAAGAGAAGAGTATGGAGAAGGAAAGGAACTGCTCATGATCCTAAGCAGACCACCTCATCAGTGAAGCATGGTGGTGGTAGTGTTATGGCGTGGGCATGTATGGCTGCCAATGGAACTGGTTCTCTTGTATTTATTGATGATGTGACTGCTGACAAAAGCAGCAGGATGAATTCTGAAGTATTTCGGGCAATATTATCTGCTCATATTCAGCCAAATGCTTCAGAACTCATTGGACGCCGCTTCACAGTGCAGATGGACAATGACCCAAAGCATACTGCAAAAGCAACCAAAGAGTTTTTTAAGGGAAAGAAGTGGAATGTTATGCAATGGCCAAGTCAATCACCTGACCTGAACCCGATTGAGCATGCATTTCACTTGCTGAAGACAAAACTGAAGGGAAAATGCCCCAGGAACAAGCAGGAACTGAAGACAGTTGCAGTAGAGGCCTGGCAGAGCATCACCAGGGATGAAACCCAGCGTCTGGTGATGTCTATGCGTTCCAGACTTCAGGCTGTAATTGACTGCAAAGGATTTGCAACCAAGTATTAAAAAGTGAAAGTTTGATTTATGATTATTATTCTGTCCCATTAATTTTGGTCCCTTAACAAGTGGGAGGCACATATGCAAACTGTTGTAATTCCTACACCGTTCACCTGATTTGGATGTAAATACCCTCAAATTAAAGCTGACAGTCTGCAGTTAAAGCACATCTTGTTCGTTTCATTTCAAATCCATTGTGGTGGGTGTATAGAGCCAAAAATGTTAGAATTGTGTCGATGTCCCAATATTTATGGACCTGACTGTATGTTAGATTATGCTAGAATTCTACTTTAATGTTCTTATCACATGACAAGCAGACTGATTTGTTGCTATAACTCCATGTATGTTCTCATTTTCCTTATTTAGTTTAAATCTGCCCTGTGATGGGAAGTTGAATTGTTGGGGAGCCCATGTTTTCATATATATTAGCACTCACAAAGTGCCATTATATCTTAAAGGACAAACTGCAATGCTATAGATTTACCTACACAGGGCTCAGCATGTAAAATGCAAAGGAAGGGGGGACTTCATTATATCTACTATATAAAAGGGACATTAGATACTGGGTTTCTGTATACACTGGTAAGGACCGTGACTGAAGCATTCATTACTAAGTTGTGTAACTTTATTGAACATATAGTCCAATAAGCACTAATTTTGTTTTTACCATTTTAGAATAAGAGAAAGAGACAATAATGGATCGTATGCTCTGTGTTTGCTGAATGATAGAAAGATTTCACATTATCGCATTGACCGGGATAAGACTGGAAAATTGTCAATACCAGAAGGGAAGAAATTTGATACTTTATGGCAGGTATGATATCTCTTTACTTATATTACATTCTTTAATTTTTTTATTTTCCTTAAAAGTAGGAAATATATTGGGCAAAACAGACATCAAGAAATTACTGAGATAGTGTAAAAAGCTGTGATAAATCACTTACAGACAAAAAAAAGAAGAAACACCAAAATGTTTAGGGTAACATTGGATTCTGGATATGTAAGGGCTGAATGTGAAGGGTTTAAGGTAAGTTATGAAGCAGGAGGAAGATGGAATGGCAACCTATAAGTAGTTTATTTCAAATAATTATTAGTGGTAGAGTTAAATATGTTAGACTGGAGATGATTGTTTTTAAAATGCAAATGAAAACAACGAGGATGATTAAATTCTGTAGCTAGCTTAATGGGAAGAGAGGAATAGATTGGTGGGTTTAGAGCAGCTTTTCTCAACCAGGGTTCTGTGGAACACTAGGATTCCTCCAAAACTTACCATAGGTTTCATGAGCTTCGAACTATGGTAGATATTAATCCCCAGCTACACTAACCATCAATGTAAGAGGGCAATTTTCTACTGACATCCAGTGTAAGAGGTTACCATGAATAGTAGATATAAATTTTCCTTGGAGCTGAGAATGATTTCAATAGTTCCTTCAGAGTAAAAAAGTTTGTGAAAGATTGATTTAGAGTATCTGAAGTTTCAAAAAATTAAATTAAATACATTTTTGAGACTGGTGTGAATCACACAGGGAAAACAGTATGCAAAAAAGTGCAGTGCTAGTACTGGTCAGTAGCAGGTTGTTGCACACACAAGTTACCAATGGGTCATGTAAGACTGGAAAACCCCTATTATAATTAAGCTTGTAGCAGGAGTTGAACATTTTTACAAACATAGTATATATTGCATTTATCCTCAAGTTTATGGCTAATTGGTGACCAAAATTTGCATCAGATGAGGGTAGTATTGAGTGTCAGCTAAATAAAATAATCTGTTACACAGGCAAGTTTTGTTCATGGAAGATTAGGCAGGGTATTAGAAAAGTCATTTGAGCATTGTAGAGGACTTAGATGGTAATATGTATGACAACTTTCTGGATCACTCACCTCCTTTTCAATAATTATACCTTTGGGTATACAAACTATTATAGATGTGGAACATGAGCAGTATATTCCATAATAATACCAAACTATATGCCCTTCATTTCTTGTCGAATGCTCCAACAGCCGGGATAGAGGGGGGGAGATGGGGATTTCACGCTATACACCAGTGGGTAACAACTATGTCACAATGTTTTCTATGAACAACAAACCAAAAACAGGGCATATATTTTGTTTAGTGCTTTTACTCTGAGCTCTAATTCACACTTTAGCAATCTGGAAATGCATGCAGAAAAACAGACAAGCAAAAATCCTCCAAAACATGCATTTTACTAGTGGTGCAATTAATTCTTAATGGCACCCCAAACACAGGTAGCAGTTGGGCATACATGCAAGGTCACTTACAAAAAAGGTGCAGGAGCTACTTTAGTGCATTTGGTGCATAGGGCAGCCCTCTCATTTGAACAAATGAGAACAAAAGCATGAAAAATAATGTAGGTGTGAATGTGGCCTACATAGCAGGTGTGAGCTACATACTGAAAACATATCTGTGATTTTTGTTTTTTTATGAAAATGCTTTTGTTTGTTATTTTATTACATTTCTTTATACACATTTTTTTTCCAGTTGGTCGAGCATTATTCCTACAAACCCGACGGACTTATCAGAGCACTAGCTAACCCATGCTCACGTTCTACTGCCTTCAAAAGTATGAGTGGCGGTACAGGTAAGTAATAGGGAAAGTTTGACGTTTGGCTGTTTATGAAAATTAGGTGTTTTTTGTAGAATTTCTAGGTGTAGGTTTTAGACAGCAACCAATTCCCCTCTTCGGTCTGTGTTTTTTATATTCCAATAGTTTTTATTGAATAATTTTTTAGAAAACAAGTATTACAATGAACAATGTTCTATCGCATATAAAAATATAAAACACAGATAACAACGAACTTTGTCACAAAGCAATTGGCATTTGAGGCAAGACACATATTACAACACAAATTGGGATTGGGTGTAACTCACCCAACCAACATAAGAAGGAACATTGTAGAATAGAGAAAAAAAGAATAAAGAAGGCAAAGAAAAGAGTGGAGGAGAGGGTCAAGATGAGGGAAATTAAGCCACAGAAATGTATTGAATCCATGGGTTCTATATGTTATCAAATTGTTTCGAACTATTGTGTAGGATAAAGGTGAGTTTGTCATTACCATAATCCAATTCAGTTTCTTTTTAACATAATCAAGCAGAATAACCAATTGCTTCCAATGTCCAGCTATAGTAATTGTTGCTGCCAACAACATATAGGTGATCAACTTATGAGACTTCTTGGGAACATTATCTGGAAGTTTATGAAAGAGCACTGTCTCCAGGGATCTGTGAATATTTACTCCCATCACTGCATTGATAAAATTTAACATGCGAATCTAAAATCTGGTTGCAATCGGACATTGATACCAGATGTGATACATAGAGCCCACCTGGCCACAACGCCTGAAACATATTGCAGAAGCAGATGGATGCATCCTCACAATCCGAGTAGGGACCAAATACCATCTCAACAATGTTTTATAGTTTGCTTAAAATAGGGTTGTATTGATAGAAATTTTGGATAGTGCCAGGGCAATATCTTGCCAATCTGATAATTCGTAATTGACATCTAGGTCCCATTCCCAGTGCTCCATACAGGGAAGTTTATAATTCGGATCAGTGATGAGAGCATATACTGTGGAGACACGACCTCTGGAGAAATCCCTATTCTGGCAGGAAAGTTCAAAGGTGGTGAGCAAAGGTGAATCATCCAATAAAGTAAGCTTCGAGCAGAGAAATGAGACAATCTGGTTATATCTGAAGATTTCAGTAGCAGGCATTTGTAGCTTGTCTTTAAAATATTGTAAATAATGTATGCAGGCACCTTTAAGATAGTCTCCTATCCGCAACAAGCCTTTATTGATCCACCATTGAAAAGGGGCAGGTGTTAATCCAGGTACAAATTCATGGTTGCAAAAAAATGGAGCTATGGGTGTATGTAGAGATGCTAATGACTTACGATGGCGTACTCTGTCCCAAACTGTCAAAGAAAACAACAGAGTGAGGCACAGTATAGGAGGGCGCAATCGATTAGGAAGCAAAAGTAACGTACCAACAACCCAGTCTGTGTTTTTTATTGCTCCTTCAGGCTACTTGTCAGTTGTCATTGGGCTATATTCCTGTTTTATGGGATCTTTCTTGAGTTGCTCCTGGTAAATATTTATGTTCCTATTGTCTGAATAGATGTAGTTATATCCAAAAGCCTAACTGCAGATAAGTAATAATTTTTTCTGTATATCTTGGAGTTCAGGAAATGTATTTCTCTTTGTGATTGGTGAAATAGATTAGTGCCTGGGAAATTGAAAAAAAAAATCCTTTTCGCTGGTCCTAGGGGAAAGGTCTCAAGTCAGTGTTCGTGGCCATTCCCCTAGGTATCAAGGCTAATGTACACAGAGCAACTTGGACACTTGAATGTTTCCATCCCTCTTCTGCATCTGGCTGAGACCCTCCTCTGTGTTGCCTTCCATGGCCGTGGTTTGACTGCCATCAGAGAAGCCATCCTGCTTTAATCCTGTGTATGTTTATATGTGTATACAGTATGTGTTCATTCTGTTAAAAGATACTTACCTCTCGCTATTTCCTGAAGAAAATGATTTGAATGAACAAGTCCCCATATCTATTTTGAAGAAATATGTGGAAGTTTATGCACAATTTTGTAAAAAAAAAAAACTGTGCGGGGACTTTAGGAGAATTGTATGTTACCAAAACAGGATGAACGGTAATATTTATATTTGGTGTTGTTGCGCTATTTAAATCCTGTAGAATAATAATAATCATACAATAATATTTGATGATGTGCTTACAAGCTCTATTTTTAAGATTTTTCTAAATAATATATTTGGTTTTAATTAAAACTTAATTGTTTGGTTTCTATAAAGTCCCATAGTCTGTTTTCTGTTTGGGCTACTATGTAATTTTCTCCAACAGGGATGTTGGTATCAATTCTGTTGAAACGTTGTAAGGATTCGCCTTTTTTTTTCTTATATTAGTCACTACATCTCAGGAGAGACATAATAAAACAGGGATACAGCCCAATGACAGGTAGTACTCAGATCAAGAAAGTAGTTAACATCCCCGGTCATATATAGTATAAACAAAGTAAATGAGAATAGTGTCCCACTGGTTGTCACCTATAATCCATGCCTAAAAGGTCCAAGAATGATCACAAAAGCACTGGGGCATCTTCTGTACTTGGATGAAAAATTACAAGAATTATTAACACAATTGCCTATCTTGACAGACTGATAAGCACCCAATTTAAAACAGCTACTTCTATGGCCGTTATCTGAACAGCCCAGTATAAAAAAATAGTATTTTCTAGCAATATCAAGCATGTAAAATCTAAAGGATGCATAAAAAATACTTTTAAGTTGCCTACGCAATAGTAACTTTTATATATACAGTCAATAAAAGTTATTTTATATATTATAATGTTATGTACAAGTAATGTCATTCATTGTCCTCATTTGTCTTTCAAAGCAAGGATATGTGGCACTGAATAATTGCTAGGTTTAGTGTCTTTCTATAGCATAATGCTTTGCTAACTGCTACACATACTGTGTGAAGCATTTAATCTAAGTTTCAGTAAAATTGGTGTAAAAAGAAGCATTTGAAAAATTATGCAAATGGTAAAGACCTATGCGCTGCTATGTTCCAACTATAGTAATAATATCAGGGAAGAAGATTGCTGCATTCACTACTCTGGTGTACTCACACTCAAATTAAAAAAATAAAAAAAGATAGCGCAGCACATTTTTTTCATTTGAAAAATTATGTTTCATACTCATTTAATGTAAAAGTATTTGCTATAACTAAAACATTTGTATACAATGTTGTTTAATGTGCAATACATATCAGCTTCCATTCTCTAACCTGCATTAAATTAGCAGCTGTCTATGAGTTACAACCCACATTTTGGTATATTTAATTCACCTCTAACTTGCTCTAGGTTTTAAGTTTGCAGCCATATACGAATGAGTTGTGGCTCCGATTCTGGTTTATGTAATAAAACAATATTTTTTTTACTGTGTAATGTAAGCTACTGGGGCACAGGCTGATTAACTACTTTCTACATCTGTTTTATCCAAGGTATGTTTCCTTTTCCAGAACGTCATGGACTTCCTAGACCTCCTACAGGGGTAAGGTGCTTTAAAAATCCTCCTAATATGTATGTATATAGAACAAGGCAAAGAAACAAAAATACACTACTAGTGGATAATGAATTATTAAGTGCTTGGCTCTGTATGCCTATATGACATTTTATGTCTAAAGATATTTCTAAAAAAAGTCACATTGCAGGCTTTTTTCTTGTCTTCCATAAGTTATCGGAATAAGTGGGTCAAATGTATGCACTTGGAGAGTCACTAAAATTACATAATTCTATTCAAATTCACATTTATTGTGTCTTAAGTAAAGATTTTAATCTCTACCAGTAATAACGTGTGATTCATTCTAAACATACAAATTAAAATAAAACAAAGATCTCTTCTTCCGATGCTAAAATGGATTTTTTTGTCACTCAAACCAGCAGTTCACGTCAGTGTGCTTATGCATGAATATTGGGGGGAAAATGGTGCATGAGTCCTGGAAAACCTATGATATAGGGGTTATGTAATAATATGATGGAAAGAACACTGTGTAACTGTCAATGACAGCCAAAAACAATTCTGCTTTCTGTCTAAACTGCTGATTGGTTGTTGTGGATTACAGCAAAACATTGCTCTTTGAAATGGTTTATTAAATTAGCTTGTTATTGCTGTTTTATTCAGAATGTATAACTTATTATTTCATGAACATAACTGATCATTTTAAACACTAAAAAATCGATTTGTCTAATTTTGATACTTAGAAATTAGAAAAAAGAATTTCAGTAATGGTGGCCAACATACTGTACTTATATTGTACTTGTATATGTAAATCCTCACCTTGTAAAACAATCCATTCAGTTTAAAATGAAATGAAAGGTAAAACATATATATATATATATATATATATATATATATATACGCTGCTCAAAAAAATTAACAGAACACTTTTTAATCAGAGTATAGCATGAAGTAAATTAAACTGCTTGGATATTGATCTGCTCAGTTAAGTAGTGGAGGGGGTTGTCAATCAGTTTCAGCTGCTTTGGTGTTAATGAAATTAACAACATGTGCACTAGATAGGCAACAATGAGATGACCCCCAAAACAGGAATGCTTTTACAGGTGGATGCCACTGACATTTTTTTCCCTACTCAACTTTTCTGACTGTTTTTCACTAGTTTTGCATTTTTGGTGATACCTGGACCCTACAGAGGTTGCACAGGCAGTCCATCTCCTCCAGGATGGCACATCGATATGTGCCATTGCCAGAAGGTTTGCTGTGTCTCCCAGCACAGTCTCAAGAGCATGGAGGAGATTCCAGGAGACAGGCAGGTACTCCAGAAGAGCTGGACAGGGCCGCAAAAGGTCCTTAACCCATCAGCAGGACCGGTATCTGCTCCTTTGTGCAAGGAGGAACAGGATAAACACTGCAGAGCCCTACAAAATGACCTCCAGCAGGCCACAGGCCACTAGTGTGAATGTCTCTGACCAAACAATCAGAAACGGACTTCATGAGGGTGGCCTGAGGGCCCGACGTCCTCTAGCGGGCCCTGTGCACCATAGAGCTCGATTGGCATATGCCATTGAAAACCAGAGTTGGCAGGTCTGCCACTGGTGCCCTGTAAGAGCAGGTTCACCCTGCGCACATGTGACAGACGTGAAAGGGTCTGGAGAAGCCGTGGAGAACGTTATGCTGCCTGTAACATCATTTAGTATGACTGTTTTGGTGGTGGGTCAGTGATGGTCTGGGAGGCATATCCATGGAGGGACACACAGACCTCTACAGTCTAGACAATGGCACCCTGATTGCCATTAGTTATTGGGATGAAATCCTTGGACTCATTGTCAGACTCTACACTGGTGCAGTGGTTCCTGGGTTGCTCCTGGTGCACGACAATGCCCGGCTCCTCATGTGGAAAGAGTATGCAGGCAGTTCCTGGAGGATGAAGGAATTGATACCATTGAATGGCCCCCACACTCGCCTGACCTAAATCCAATAGAACACCTCTGGGATATCATGTTTCGATCTATACAACGATGCCAGGTTTTACCTCAGACTGTTCAGGATCTCAATGATGCCCTGGTCCAGTTCTGGGAGGAAATACCCCAGGACACCATCCGTCATCTTATTAGGAGCATGCCCAACATTGTCAGGCATGCATACAAGTATGTTGGGGCCATACAAACTACTGAGTGCCATTCTGAGTTGCTGCAATGAAATTTCAGCAAACTGGACTAGCCTGCTGTATCATTTTTCACTTTGATTTTTGGGGTGTCTTTGAATTCAGTCCTCTGTAGGTTGATACTTTTCATTTCCATCAATCGATGGGGCATCTTTATATTCCTAACACTTTACCCAGTCCATATCAGTATAGATATCCAGCATGATTTTTTTCACCCATTAGGGGGGGGGGGGGGGGGGGGGGGGGGGGGGGGGGGGGGGGGGGGGGGGGGGGGGGGGGGGGGGGGGGGGGGGGGGGGGGGGGGGGGGGGGGGGGGGGGGGGGGGGGGGGGGGGGGGGGGGGGGGGGGGGGGGAGATCTGATGTATTTTCAAAGTGTTCCTTTAATTTTTCTGAGCAGTGTGTACATATATATATATATATATTATAAATACCCTTTTTTTTTCCTTTTTTCTATAAGTGATCACTTATACCCTCTGTTTTCAGCTGCATAAGAGCTGGGGGAGGAGAAACAGCAGTACACATATCTTCCTAGTGAAAGGCTGTGCAGGGGGGAGAGGTGAAATGTCAGCAGAAGTCTGATCATTGGAGGAGAGTACACTGAGTTCCTGGCACAGCTAGAGAACTGAGTACGGTGTGTTCTCCTGCTTAGTGTGGTCAATTTTAAATAGAAAAGCAGAGAGACTGACAGGAACACCAAGGATTTCACACAAAGGAAGCAATACAAATAAAGCAGGATACTTTTTCATAAATGTACATGGTACAGCAGGCACATATCAGGAATATGAAATGTTGGGTTTATATACTTTATAAATTGCTATATTTGAAAGCAGCTGATGCATACCTTTTACCTCGAGTTCAGTTGGTCACACACAACCATTTAACAAATTAGGAATAAAATGTGGCTTGCTTTAAAAAGTTTCACTGATTAATACGGAAGTTTCGGAAACTTGGCAAACAGATATAGTATAAAAAACAAAGGTTATTTACTAGCAGTATCAGTAGTATTTCAAGCACACATTTGTCATTTTTGGCCTTAGTTCCTAAAGAAGCTGAGACACTTTATACCATAAATCCAATCATTTGAACATAAAATTCCTGATCATTTTAATGTGTAGATGAAATAAGCAAACAGAAATTTGTTTTTCACACAATTGAAAAATTAAAGTGAATATTTACACAGTTTATTGTGTGAAGATTATGAGCCTCATTGCCTAATAATCGCAAGGTAAAAATCTACCAACTATAATTTTGTTATCATTTGCCTATATGCCACACGGCAGTAGCCTCAACAGAAAAAATAGATAAAAGTCAGGTATCTTAATGTATGCATAGTTGAAGACACTAGCCCATACTGTGCATTAAACTTTGTTAGGTAACGGTGCTCAAATCAAGCACTTAATAAATCAAAATCACAAAGTTGTTTATTGAAAAAGAGAATACTGATGTTGATGCTATTAACTTTAATTTTCTTTGCTCGGCGTTTAGATCATTTAAGTTAAGGCACACCAACGCACATGTTTATCATGCACCACTTCATGCATTTTAATATGTATCTGCCACCAGCTACCATTGCTCATTGTTTCCATAACTGATTAAATATCATAATGTGCGCAACTGAAGATGAGCAAGTCAGCCATGGTTAGTTTAATGACTTGAGTCACTAAACCATCTGGTTGCTATGAAGGTTAATATGAGGCCAATTGTACCAGAGCACACACAAACTCTAAATATTTATAAATATATAACAATGACGTAAAATGACCTACAGTTCTGCATTAATAATTGCTTTCTGTTTACTTTTATTTTGCCTAAATGAAAAAGGACAAAAGGCAAGTAACAAAAATGCGACCCTTGTATTGCAGTTTTTTTAGCAATATGTGCAGATGTGATAAGAAGTAGCATCAAAGTACATAGAAGGATTGGATTATATAATAGACGTTTTTGCATTAGCACATAACTTTGAGAGTGGTGATGTATTATGCATGAAAAAAGTTAACTTTACTTAGGTTGTCTATAGATGCAAAACACGCAGAACCTGCCTCACAGCTACCCTAGATTAAATAATTAATACACACAGAGCTGCTACCCCAAACACAATACTATGTGGTGCTCAAGATCTATACCATTTGGCACAACTAAGTGTGAAACGAAAGTGCAAAAAATAACAATTATATTACATAAAGTGCATCAAGAATAAAAAAATGAATTCAACAATAAAGTAAAAATAAAATATAGAAGTCACAAATTAAAGTGTCCTACACTTCTTTTTACACAATGGTAATAAACTATAAATTGTCCACTGAAAAAAAGTGCTCCGTGCTCTTACTGCATTCCTCTTCAATGGTTTACAGAATTCCTTAGATCATTCAGTGAAATAAATCACTCACCTGCCACCACCTTCACACCAGAAAAATTGCCATATAACCATGACTCTCTTGTTTATATGTGGGTCATAAAGTGCTTGCACCCCTTTAAGGGATGGGGGTCCCAAACCACTGCTGCTCTTTCTCCCTCTCAATATACACCACACATGCACAGGAATCACTTTTAAAATAAAAAGTTCATATACCGTATATACTCGGGTATAAGCCGACCCGAATATAAGCCGAGGTACCTAATTTTACCACAAAAAACTGGGAAAAACTATTGACTCGAGTATAAGCCGGTGGTGTCAGTGGGGGGAGGAATAGTGCCCCATCGTTGGTGTCAGTGGGGGGAGGAATAGTGCCCCATTGTTGATGTCAGTGGGGGGAGGAATAGTGCCCCATCGTTGGTGTCAGTGGGGGGAGGAATAGTGCTCCATCGTTGGTGTCAGTGGGGGGAGGAATAGTGCCCCATCGTTGATGTCAGTGGGGGGAGGAATAGTGCCCCATCGTTGGTGTCAGTGGGGGGAGGAATAGTGCCCCATCGTTGGTATTAGTGACACCAATGATTGGGCACTATTCCTCCCACTGACACCAATGATACTTACCTTGCTGACCCCTGCTCCAGCCTGGGCTCGCTCGCTCCCTCCCTCTCCCATGGTACACACTTACCGGTCAGATGTCTTCCTTCTCCGGCCGCTCTCCTCCTCTTCACTCGCTCGATCTTCGCGGTGCAGCTCGGCTCCTCCTCTCCAAGCTCCACCTCCTCGCCGGTGATTGGGCGCCTGTGTGCCTCTCCTGAGCTACAGTTCCGGCGGCCAATCACCGGCGAGGATTGATCCCGGGGATGTGTCCAGATGACAGGGACGGCATGTCATCCCGCCCACACCTGGAGACGGATAGAGGAGCGGTGTCTCGGTTCCTAAGGTCATCGGAAATATGTGTTTTCCAATGGTCTTAGGCGACCCCTGTGAAAGTGTCGTTCGACCCTCAAAGGGGTCGCGACCCACAGGTTGAGAACCGCTGCTTTAGAAGCAGCGCCCCCTGCTAGACATCTGCAGACGTTGACTTGAGTATAACCGAGGGGGCCGTTTTTCAGCACAAAAAATGTGCTGAAAAACTCGGCTTATACTCGAGTATATACGGTAGTTTAAAACCTTCTATTTATTAAAATGCATCCATTAAAAAAAACTTGTATTGCCTACTCACATTTGTAAGTACATAACCTTGCACAAGGAAAATTGTGCATAATTATATTAAAGCACCGGCTGCATCTCAAAATATCTATCCACAGCGCGAGCCTTGGTGTACCTCTACTTCTATGTATGTGTAGCGGGACAACATCACTTCCTGTGTGACTGCCCTGACATGGCATTTTGTCATGCTGACTTCTTCAGGGAGTGTGTCTATAGATGATCAGTTGTGTCACCAAAACCATGATGCTTGAACGATGTATCACTAGAACCACAATCTTCTTATTGACTCAATTAATATTAGATATGGATCAAACATGTTCCAAAAATGTGTCAAACTTTTAAACAGAATGTGTGCTCTTCCAATCATTTGCAAGCAAAAATCTTTATTTTCCCAATTGACCTTAACTTATGACTGGGTATTTAAAGTGAACACAGCTTTACCATATTTACCAAGCTTAGGTGTCCTTTTATGAAACAGAGATCAGCGGCGATCCTGAGGATCGTTGCTGATCTCAGATCATTAGTGGTTTAGGAAACAGAGATGATCAGTGGAGAACATGTTCTCTGCTGATCATCTCAGCACACAGATGGCCAGTATATGAAGGAGCGATGTCAGCTCTTCACTGGCGATCTGTGTTCTCCCTCCAGATTCTCCAGCCCAGAGCTGGAGAATGGGAGGAACCGCAAACGAAGCAGCGATAATTTACCTCTGCTTAGTAAACGGTGTTTGACTGATCTTACTGTAATCTCGCAAGATTATAGTAAAAGCAGCCGTTTTTCAGCGTTTGTAGATCGTTCTTCTCCCTTCATTCGGAGAACTGATCTACACCGCTTCATAAAAAGGCATTCACAGGAGAATGCCGGAGAACTGAGCAGCGGTCATTTCCGCTTCATGATAAAAGGACACCTTGGTGTTATGCTCCTGTGAATCAACCCTAATGAGGACTTCTGAAGCTCAAGAGGTTCACTGTCATTTCAATGTGACCTCATTGCCACACATGATGTCTCAATCTCTTGCATTGTATGCTTTTATCCATCCACCCTTACTTATTAACACACTGATCTAAGTACTTATCAACAGTTGACAGAATCTAAAAGCATTATAGTTAGTTCAGTTACACACTCACAGCCCTCACATGCACACACACAACTTTAGTTACCATATACTGTATAAATATGAATAGATAAGGGCAAATAATAGTACAGTTAAGAAAAAGAGATTCTGCAACATATATCTAGAAGATACTATTAGCAAAAAGCCACACATTTCTGTCTACAATGTTAACCCTAGGAAATCTATTGTTTTATCTCTTGTCTGTACATCACCTTTAGATAGTCATAACATTGAATGTTGTGGAAAGTTTTTTTTTTCATAGCCCATTTACTGACATTTGATGACATTGTGGTTTCTAGAATTGGTCAGCAGGTGGAATAATCGCAAGATTCAAATCCTACTCCTTTCCCAAGGCTGGCAGCAAAAAGGTGCACAGAACACGCTCTTCCAAAGCTTTGTTAATTATTGGCAGGCTTTTGGCTGCTTTGGGTGTACAGCTTATATTAAAGTAGCATTGCAGGTTTCAGATTCTTATTATTTTGTAAATTGCACAAAGATTTCAATTAAAGAGAGAAAATTGAACCTTTTATAGAGAAAGGTATTAAAAAGCACAACATTTTCACATTAGTGCTCTAAAGTTCTTGCATTTGATTGTCTCCTGGTATTAATACATTCTATGTAACTTCCACTACAGTGCTTTCACTATACCAGTCCTTAAACTGCCAGCATTATCCTTACATGCATTACCTTGACCATGACCACATCATCACTTCAAGCTGGCATGATACCATTCTCTGTGCTGTGCAATATTGGATGTGCCGTTGCCAACAGTGCAAGTAGTATAGCAACAGGAGATGATGAATTATCTACTTCTTCTAAGGCTAGTTCAAAACTTTAGACCACATAGAAAGCAAAACTAAAGGTTCCATTTAGAGCAACAAGTGGACAACAAAACCTCAGTAAACAATGCAATTAAATTTTTTATTTCATGGCCCAGCAATGCTGCTTTGATTGTCCTACTCTTGTGATGAACTTCTAAATCCAGCCAGCTTTGCATTTGTGACTCCCTAACATTTGGCTTAGAAAGCTATAATACAGCAAAATAAAGGTGTGTTTTTCTGTTCAGTATAATTAATGCAATTCTACTAAAATATGACTAATTGTGTATTAGTCAGACCAGTGTAAGTATTAAATGCAAATGTGAAAATGTATGTTTTGTATTTGATCTTTGAGTGTAATTGAACCAAAGTTTCCCTCTTTACTTAAAGAGAACCTCGGTTCAGCCGAAACACTTAAGTGTTTACTTGATATTTTTATTGTTGTATGTTCTTCTTGTTCTTGTATGTTCTTCCTGGCAGAGCAGAAGTGTCTAATAATTTTTTTGGCTGTAAGACACTCTTTTCTCTTGCCTAAAATTACTGCTGATAACAGACATTCAATAAATGCCATAACAAATCTGCTGTCAGGATTTTATGATAAAAAAAGTAAAGTTTTTTTTTTTAAATAACAGTTTTTTACTTGCCTAGCAGCCCAGAGATTATGTGAGCTCTCATCTCAAGCAGTAGACAGATCAACCTCAATTTGAACATACAGCATAGCACCCGGCTGACACTTTTTCTCTGAATACAAGTAAATAATAACACACACTCCTATCCCTGTTCTCTATTTATACAATTAAGACTAAATATTCAGATTCATACAAATTCACATCACTAAAAGGTTCTCTTTAACTCTGAAAAGTCTTCCTATTTTTAAGTTGTTACAAGCAAACACATTCTACATCTCAGATATTCACTTTTCAGTAAAACATACATTTAGAAAACTATCATTTTGGTTAAAAACCTTCTCACATCCAATTTTAGATTTTTGTTTTATTAGATATTTTAATCAGATGTAACCTGTCATTGGTCATACATGTACAAGAGAAATGCAATTCCCTGAGTTGATTAATGTCTGATTTAAAAAAAGGTAATCAGAGTTTTCATCAGCTGAATCTTAAATATGTATATATCAAAACCTCACATTTGCTGAATATCATTTGTAGCTATATCATCCAATATAATACTTTGTCGCATTTGCTGAATATCATTTATAGCTATATCATCCAATGTAATACTTTGTCGCATTTGCTGAATATCATTTATAGCTATATCATCCAATGTAATACTTTGTCGCATTTGCTGAATAGCATTTGTAAATAGTAGTACATCTTGTACTAGGTAAATAACCCATGTGTAGATGTGTGGAACTATAGCCATTGAAATGCAACCTTTGCAAATAAGCTGCAAGGGGAGACAGGGTTTATTTACTAAATCTGGAGAGTGCAAAATCAGGATCACTTCTGCATAGAAACCAATCAGCTTCCAGGTTTTATTGCCAAAGCTTAATTGAAAAAGCTGAGGTTAAATCTGATTGATTTCTTTGTAGGAGTGAGCTTGAGTTTGCACTCTCCAGCTTTAGTAAATAAACCCTAGTGTGCAGAGATAATGCTCTTATTGATGACTGCATACTGATTTATCCAAGTAACAGAAGCCTCTGACAAGTATATTAGTCATTTTTTCCAATAATATACAGACATTTGCCAGATGAAGAAATGCATCAAGAGTATTGGCTCATTCTAGTAAAATTCCAGCATTCTTATCTAACTACTAATACTCTACCATTGACAAAAATGGTTTTGTCCATGTTAGTCACACATTTTTTTGTCAAAGTACTTTCCATGAGTGAAAGTTTTCAAAGGGACTGTGGGGTTTATTTGATAAAGCTGGACAGTGCAAAATCAGGCTCACTTTTGCATAGAAACCAATCAGTTTCTAATCTCAGCTTGTTCAGTTAAGCTTTGGCAAAAAATCTGGAAGCTGATTGGTTTCTATGCAGAAGTGCACCTGATTGTGCACTCTCCTGCTTTAGTAATCCAAATTGTATTAAAATATATTTGAAATATATGTTAAAAATATTCTTCCCGAATATATTGACATATATTTGAAATACTACAATTTTGGCCGTATTCAATGTATTTAAGAATATATTTCAATATATATATACTGTATGTTGAAATGCGTTTTTATTACAAAATCTATGAAAAATATTTTTAAAAAGATATTTCAAGTATACTGTATGTCTTTAACAATACAAATCTACATTTTTTATGAATGCATTTACAAAATATGTATGTAAAAATGACTTTTTTACATGTTAAAAAAAAACTGAAGAATGTATTTTTACAAAATATACTTTTAAAAATATATTTTTTTTAAAAATATATTCAGATTTTTTTTAACAAAAAATGCACAGCACAGCCATCCAGAGCAGTGTGCTTACAGTGAAGCAACAACACACCGCCCCCCAGTAAAACACTCCCTGCACACAGTTAACCCTTTGATGGCCCCTCATGTTAACCCCTTCCTGCCCAGTGCCATTAGTACAGTGTCAGTGCTTTTTTTTTAGCACACAGATCACTGTATTGGTGTCACTGGGGACGTCATTGACACCAAGTCAGTTCCCCCCAGTGTCAGAATGCCTGTTGCAGTCCCGCAGTCCTGTTATAAGTTGCTGATCGCCGCCATTACAAGTAAAAAAAAATTTTTTTTACAGTATATATACTGCCATTTGTAAACGCTATAACTTTCACGTAAACCAATTAATTTACACATATTGGGATTTGTTTTAGCAAAGACGTAGCAGAATACATTTTGGCCTAAATTATGATGACATTTGATTTTTTTAATTTTTTTACTGGACAGGTTTAATAGCAAAAAGTAAAAAATACTGTTTTTTTTCTCAAAAATTGTTGGTCTTTTTTTTTTGTAGTGCAAAAAATAAAAACGCACAGGCGATCAAATACCACCAAAAGAAAGCTCAATTTATGGGAAAAAAGACATACATTTCATTTGGGTGCAGTGTTGCATGACCGCACAATTGTCAGCTAAAGTAATGCAGCGCCGTAATGCAAAAAATGGCCTGGTCAGAAAGGGGTTAAATCCTCACGAGGGCAAGTGGTTAACTACGGTATAGCACCTCAAGTTCATAAAACTATTTTTTAAGTGCATTGGTGGAATTCAGCAATGTATATTGTATAAGACAATATACAGTCAGAGCCACTGTTTTTATACAGTAAAAGCCACAAAATGGAATGCATTGCAGTCCATGTTTTTTTTTATTGGAAGAATAAAAACACACCATATACTCACAATTTTACACTGACCTAGAATTGTCAAGCAGTCAAACATTTTATAGATTGTGATATTGTAGGGGGGTTAGAACCTCTTTTTTTTGCATGTGCATCCTACTTGAGATATATAGTACCTTTGATATTTGTAAAAATGAAAACCATTTGACCGCGGCAGAAAGCAGAAAATTTAGAAACTGTACATTTCATTCTCAGTGCAACAGGTTAAGAAGGGGCATCTTTTAGTGCAGAAGTGTTCCTGTAACAATTGGGAGAGATGGGATTTTCCTTCATTTTGAAGAAATTTCGACTTCTTGTCATGTCACTAGGAAAGGAAGTGAAGAAAAATCTCCCCAACACAGACAGCAATAGAGACCTGACACAAGTTCTAACTTATCTATACTTTCACTAAAATAAAGAGGTTTAGTTTGAATTCTCCTAGATTGTAAGCTCCAAGGAACAGGGCCCTCAAACCCCTCGTGTATTGAAATGTATTGTTATTGTATTGTCTCCCATTATAATGTACAGCGCTGAGCAAACTGTTGGCGCTATATAAATCCTGTATAATAATAATAATAATAATAATTCTACTTTAATAAACTAAGCAAAATGCCAGATTCATACATCCAACAAAAATAAATACCACACATTGATCACTACATCCAAAACTCCCTCTACCCCTTATCAAAGAGCCATGTGTGTGCATATTTTTGCCACATAAACTATAACCAAACACATGTGATTATAACATTAATTAGCTGCAAGAATAAAAATATGCTATAAAACAAAACAAAAAAAATCCTGCTGCTAAACATGGTAACATGTTTCACATATGTCACAATCCAAACAGATTTTTTTATATGGGTAGCTTTGCATAGTTTGGAAACATCACGTATCAGTATACCAGCTTAGATAAAATGTATCCTCTCCTCAATTTATAATAGATTATATTACCAAAAGTATTAGGACGCCTGCTTTTACACACACATGAACTTTAATGACATCCCAGTCTTAGTCCGTAGGGTTCAATATTGAGTTGGCCCACCCTTTGCAGCTATAAAAGCTTTAGCTCTTCTGGGAAGGCTGTCCACAAGGTTTAGGAGTGTGTCTATGGGAATGTTTGACCATTCTTCCAGAAGTACATTTGTGAGGTCAGGCACTGATGTTGGAAGAGAAGGCCTGGTTTGCAGTCTCTGCTCTAATCCATCCCAAAGGTGTTCTATTGGGTTGAGGTCAGAACTCTGTGCAGGCCAGTCAAGTTTCTCCACTCCAAACTTGCTCATCCATGTTTTTATGGATCTTGCTTTGTGTACTGGTGCACAGTAATGTTGGAACAGGAATGGGCCAGCCCCAAACTGTTCTCACAAAGTTAGGAATATGAAATTGTTCAAAATGTGTTGGCTTAGCCTCTTAGTTCCAGTGGAGTTGCCTTCACTGGAACTAAGGGTCTAAGCCCATACCTTGAAAAGCAACCCCACACCATAATTCCCCCCCCCACCACCAAACTTTACACTTAGCACAATGCAGTCAGGCAAGTACCATTCTCCTGGCAACCAGCAAACCCAGACACATCCAGCACATTGCCAGACAGAGAAGCGTGATTCGTCACTCCACAGAACACGTCTCCGCTGCTCTAAAGTCCAGTGGTGGCATGCTTTACACCACTGCATTTGACGCTTTGGATTGCACTTAGTGATATAAGGCTTGGATGCAGCTGCTCGGTCATGGAAACCCATTCCATGAAGCTCTCTATGCACTGTTGTTGTGCTAATCTGAAGGCCACATGAAGTTTGGAGGTCTTTAGCTATTGACTCTGTAGACAGTTGGCAACTTCTGCGCACTATGCACTTCAGCATGTGCTGACTCCGCTGTCTTTTTTCGTGGCCTACCACTTCGTTGTTCCCACTTGCTTCCACTTTGTTATAATACCACTAACAATTGACTATGGAATATTTAGTAGCAAAGAAATTTCACGGATGGACTTATTGCTCAGGTGGAAACCTATCACGGTACCACGCTTGAATTCACTTAACTCCTGAAAGCAACCCATTCTTTCAAAAATATTTGTAGAAGCAGTCTGCATGCCTAGATGCTTGATTTTATACACCTGTAGCCATAGAGGTGATTGGAACACCTGAATATAATGATTTAAAGGGGTGTCCCAATACTTTTGGCAATATAGTGTATATGGTATTTCCCTACTCCATCTGAAAACACTTATACAGGTGAAACTCGAATGTGATGATTATGGTTTATAGCTCATGAAAACCCCAAATCCACAATCTCAGAAAATTAGAATATTACATGCAATCAATAAAACAAGGATTGCACATAGAACAATATCAGACCTCTGAAAAGTAAAAGCATGCATATGTACTCAGTACTTGGTTTGGGCCCCTTTTGCAGCAATTACTGCCTCAATGCGGCGTGGCATGGAAGCTATCAGCCTGTGGCACTGCTGAGGTGTTATGAAAGACCAGGATGCTTCAATAGCGGCCTTCAGCTCTTCTGCATTGTTCGGTCTCATATCTCTCATCTTTCTATTGGCAATGCCCCATAGATTCTCTATGGGGTTCAGGTCAGGCGAGTTTGCTGGCCAATCAAGCACAGTAATCCCACGATCATTGAACCAGGTTTTGGTGCTTTTGGCAGTGTGGGCAGGTGCCAAGTCCTGCTGGAAAATGAAGTTAGCATCCCCATAAAGCTCGTCTGCGGAAGGAAGCATGAAGTGCTCCAAAATCTCCTGGTAGACGGCTGCGTTGACCCTGGACTTAATGAAGCACAGTGGACCAACACCAGCAGATGACATGGCTCCCCAAATCTACACAGACTGTGGAAACTTCACACTGGACTTCATCTTGCAGTGTGTGCCTCTCCATTCTTCCTCCATACTCTGGGTCCTTGGTTTCCAAATGAGATGCAAAAGTTGCTTTCATCAGAAAAGAGGACTTTGGACCACTGAGCAACAGACCAGGTCTGTTTTTCTTTAGCCCAGGTAAGAAGCTTCTGATGTTGTTTGTTGTTCAGGAGCGGCTTGACAAGAGGAATACGACATTTGAAGCCCATGTCCAGGATCCGTCTGTGTGTGGTGGCTCTTGATGCACTGACTCCAGCCTCAGTCCACTCCTTGTGAAAGTCCCCAACACTTTTGAATGGCCTTTTCCCGACAATCCTCTGCTGGCTGCGGTCATCCCTGCTGCTTGTGCTCCTTTTTCTTCCACACTTTTCCCTTCCACATAACTTTCTATTAATGTGCTTTGATACAGCAATGTGGGAACATCCAACTTCTTTTGCAATTACCTTTTGAGGCTTTCCCTCCTTATGGAGGGTGTCAATGATGGTTTTCTGCACAACTGTCAGGTCAGCAGTCTTTCCCATGATTGTGATTCTTACTGAACCAGACTGAGAGAACATTTAAATGCTCAGGAACCCTTTGGAAGTGTTATGGCTTAATTAGCTGATTAGAGTGGGACACTTTTAGCCGAGAATATTGCACCTTTTCACAATATTCTAATTTTCTGAGATTGTGGATTTGGGGTTTTCATGAGCTGTAAGCCATAATTATGGCTTACGCAATTCCGAAAAATCACGGTTTGAGCCTATCTCATATATTAGTTTCACCTTTTAAGTTGCATTACTGAAATAAATGAACTTTTGCACGATATTCTAATTTTTCGAGTTTCACCTGTATATAGAACCACTTTTTATTTTTACAAAGGAAGTATATTTATTAATTTAAAATTGCCAGGTATTTCTACAATTCATGAGTCAGAGGTGGGCACACTAAGAGCCTTTGTCAATGGGCTTTGGGCTTGTGTCAGTTACATCAATTTGACATCAGTTTCAGACACAATGGGAGAGAATTTCCAAGGCATTAGATATACCATTGAACACAATGAAGACAGTCATCATCAAGTGCAGAAAATATGGCAGAACAGCAGCATTAAGAAGAACTGGACATCCCTAAAAAATTGATGAAAGGAGGAGACGAAAACTGGTCTGGGAGGCTGCCAAGATGCCTACATCAACATTAAAGGAGCTGCAGGAATATCTGGCAAGTACTGGCTGTGTGGTACATGTAACAACAATCTTCCGTATTCTACCTATGTCTAGGCTATGGGGTAGAGTGGCAAGATGGAATACTTTTCTTACGAAGAAAAACATCCAAGCCTGGCTAAATTTAGCAAAAAACACATCTGAAGTCCCCCAGAAGCATGTGAGAAAATGTGTTATGGTCTGATGAAACCAAGGTCGAACTTTTTGGCCACAATTCCAAAAGATATGTTAAGCGCATAAACAACACTGCACATCACCAAAAGAAGACCATACCCACAGTGAAGCATGGTGGTGGCATCAGCATGCTTTGGGGCTGTTTTTCTTCAGCTGGAACTGGGGCCTTAGTCAAGGTAGAGGGAATTATGAACAGTTCCAAATACCAGTCAATATTGGCACAAAACCTTCAGGTTTCTGCTAGAAAGCTGAACATGAAGAGGATCTTCATCTTTCAGCATAACAAAGACCCAAAGCATACATCCAAATCAACAAAGGAATGGCTTCACCAGAAGAAGATTAAAGTTTTGGAATGGCCCAGCCAGAGCCCAGACCTGAATCCGATCGAAAATTTGTGGGGTGATCTGAAGAGGGCTGTGCACAGGAGATGCCCTCGCAATCTGACAGATTTGGAGTGTTTTTGCAAGGAAGAGTGGGCAAATATTGTCTAGTCAAGATGTGCCTTGCTGATAGACTCATACCCAAAAAGACTGAGTTTAGATTAAGGTGTGCACACTTATGCAACCATATTATTTTAGTTTTTTATTTTTAGTTCCCTCAGTCTAAAAGATTTCAGTTTGCTGTTCAACTGAGTTGTACAGTTTATAGGTTACATTAAAGGTGGAAAAAGTTCTGAAATTATTTATCTGTGTTTTATTTTTTTACATCACAGAATCCTGACATTTTAACAGAGGTGTGTAGACTTTTTATATCCACTGTACAGTATAATGTACAACATAGTGAATGCATCTTAGTGGTCAGGGTATAACGTACAGCATAGTGTATATAGTGCAGGGGTCAGGAGTATAATGCACAATGCAGTGCAAGGGTAGCTCTCAGCTCTCTCTCTCTCTCTCTCACCAGTTCTTTCACTGCTTCCTCTTCTCAGCACCTTTCTAGTATCAAACTATGATCCAGATTCCCCCTCTAAGGAGGCACTATTCTGCTCCCCACCACATACAAGCACAGATTAAGGAATATGCTGATTGCCTTGGAATGGGGGAAGGCTCTGAACTGCCTCAGGATTTGCTTATGAATAAGCTGCCATGGAACTTGTTTATGAATGAGCTGTGGGAACAATGTAACAGGGCAGGGCTGATGGGCAGAGGAAGCAACAGGCAGACTCAATGAGCTCCACAATGTGATCCTAGGACACAGCCTTTGAGGGACAGCTGAATAAAAAGCAGGACTGTCCCAGAAAATCTGAGACAGTTGGTAAGTATGTATGCACACAGTTTCTTGACCTAACATTTTATCACACACAATAAAATGTCCAAAGTGCTTCTATGTCTAGATGAAAACGTTATTCAGCTTAAGGGAACCTAATCTTCAAATGCAAGCGCCTGTGTTTTTATCTGAGTTTGCATAAGGTTTTCATGCACTCTTTAGTGAATAAAAGTGAGTACCTAATGGCTTTTAAACTGTTATTACAATCATAATGTGGCTCTTATTGGCAAAAAAAGTCTAAATATACTGTATATGTAGTTATCTTCTCAAGTCAAAGTTGTTACTGAGTAATATTCTCTTTTCTCTAATCATTACAGCAAAGTTTGGCCGAAGTTAGTCGTCATGGAAGCGTTTCTTCAATAAATCCATATGTTTCGAGACCAAAATCAGATGAAAGAGGTAAGCTAGACAAACATGTTATTTCAAAAAACATAACTAAATGTGTAAGAAATAATAATGTTTGCCTATAGTAGCTGAACAGTCAGAACTGGAGAATAATAAAAAGACACGAGAGGTCATGAAACTAGTAGTGAAAGCCTTTACACTGCTATGTGTATTGCATCATTTTCACATAACTTAGTGGTACTACCAAACTCAAAGTTGTATAGTGTATCAATAGTATATGTTTTCTTTACACATATATATCTTATTGCCTAGTAAGCAAGTATGTAGGCAGGTGCAGCCTCTGTTCTCCAATGTGGGTGGTTCTCAGTCAGAGCGGTACTGCAGCCTGAGAGAAAGTCAAGAGAAACCTGGTTCTCCATGGCTTCCCTGGTGCCCTAGGCAGTGTTCCGGTTGCCTATGCTGCATCCAGGTGGTCATTTTAGGTCAGCAGAGCCTTTTTAAGTGCCTGCCACTAGACCTTGGCACGCTTTTAGGCAAGTGGATAGCTAGTTCACCCATCTGTCAGGGAAAGTGAACAGCGGTAGGGAAAGGTTCCAGTCGAGTAGGAATAGTCTAGAGCAGGGGAGGACCATTTGGAAACTCGGGCACTGCCCAAGGGCCCGGAGTCAGTAGGAGGCCCCATGAGATGCCCCTGGTACCTTTTTCATAGGCTTTTTTTGAGTTTGGGCAAGGACACAGGGGCCCCATGATCCCCTATTCCCCGGGCACCCCATGAGTTGTCAGTCCGCCCCTGGTCTAGAGACACACCGACCTACACTGGAATCCTTCTCATTGGGCTCAGAGCAGCCAGGCCACATTCTGCGCTCAGAGACAGATGCTTTTGGTGTATCAGATTCTGCTCCAATCCACAAGTCTGCACAAAACTGTGAGTGTTCTCAGCTGGGTGCCTTCCGGCTGGACTGTTAGTAACTTCCTTCAATACAAGTTTTATTATTTCAACTCAGTGTGTTTACGGCCACTGCACCATGCTGTACTTACCCAGAAGTAGATACTAAGTGTTTTTAACAGCTAGCAAAATAATCCTACAGTTTACTTGTAGTTTATAGGGAGAACTGTCTATGTTGCACTGATATGTACTAAATAAGCAACCTTTGCATCTCCAAAGTTTAGTTTTAGGTCCAAAGTGAACATGACCATCTAAGAGCACATAAATATCAATTTATGATCCAACTACCATCAGGCATTTCAGTCATATTTCAGCATCATAAAATTAAATGTTAGGCTCAGCCAATTGTTTTCTCTTAAGAGAATAGAATGAGAAGAAGAAGAATAGCTTGACAAATGCTTACAGTGCCACTTATCACAGGGTGGAATAATACAAAAGCAACAAAGGTCAGATAGTGTAACTAACATATCATGTCTGTTAATGAGTTAAAGCAAAGCTCCACCCAAAAGGGGAAGTTCCACTTTAAGCCTTTGTCCCCCCCCGCTCCTCATTAAGGATTGGCACCTTTAGGGAGCGAGGGGGGGAAGCAAATTTGACAGGTACCCACTCCCTCTTCCACTGTGATCATGGAAGCGGAAGTTGTCCTCCCTCTTCTCTCCCCGTAGTTTAGCTGGAACTCCACTTTAAGAGTCTGTATGGTTTAGTTAACAAGCCTGTTTTGCAGGGCAGTCGTTTTTCGATCTGTGGTCTACATTGCAATGTAATTACCAGAGAAGGCAATAGATTGTATGTTTTCATTATTACAGTTCAACATTAAGCAACACTGTTTCTGATTTTTAGAGTGGAGAAGGTCTGGCAGTTTTGACAGGTGTTGTTTCTGAGGAAACAAACCCTGAGAAGAGAAAAAGAAACAAAATAATGATCATGGAGAAAAAGCACCCTGCGTTCAACTATCACAAGTAGTAGCAACTAGACAAATTAGAGCGATTGGTGCTTCTTCAATCTATAGAAGAATATATACAGCAAAAAATAATCCAAAGTCACTGATGAAAATTATGTATAATGTGTGTATGTTTGTGTATATATATATATATATATATATATAGTGTGTGTGTGTGTATGTATGTATATATATATATATATATATATGATATAAAAAGTCTACATACCCCTGTTAAAATGTCAGGTTTCTATGATGTAAAAAAATTAGACAACGATAAATCATTTAAAAACTTTTTTCCACCTTTAATGTAACCTATAATCTGTACAACTCAGTTGAACAACAAACTGAAATCTTTTAAGTGGAGGAAAGTAAAAATAAAAAACTGAAATAATATGGTTGCATAAGTGTGCACACCAGGGGCGGACTGACCATTTGGAAACTCGGGCACTGCCCGAGGGCTCTGGGTCAGTAGGGGGCCCCATGAGATGCCCCTGGTACCTTTTTCATAGGCTTTTTTGAGTTTGGGCAAGGACACAGGGGCCCCATGAGTTGTCAGTCCGCCCCTGGACGGAAGCCTTTTCTTATGAAGAAAAACATCCAAGCCCGGCTAAATTTTGCAGAAACACATATGAAGTCTCCCAAAAGCATGTGGGAAAATGTGTTCTGATCTGATGAAACCAAGGTTAAAGGGCTGTTTTTCTTCAGCTGGAACTGGGGCCTTAGTCAAGGTAGAGGGAATTATATTTCCAAATGATCAGTCCACCCCTGCTTCCGTCTTGCCACTCTACCCCATAGCCCAGACATATGAAGAATACGGGAGATTGTTCTCACATGTACCACACAGCCAGTACCTGCCAGATATTCCTGCAGCTCCTTTAATGTTGCTGTAGGCCTCTTGGCAGCATCCCAGACCAGTTTTCTTCTCATCTTTTCATCAATTTTGGAGGGACGTCCAGTTCTTGATAATATTATTGTTCCATATTTTCTCTACTTGATGATGACTGTCTTCACTGTGTTCCATGGTATGTCTAATGCCTTGGACATTCTTTTATACCCTTCTCCTGACTGATACCTTTTAACAATGAGATCCCTCTGATGCTTTGGAAGCTCTCTGCAGACCATGGCTTTTGCTGTAGGATGCGACTAAGAAAATGTCAGGAAAGACCTACTAGAACAGTTGAATTTTATTTGGGGTTAATCAGAGGCACTTTAAATGATGGCAGGTGTGTACTGACTCCTATTTAACATGATTTTGAATGTGATTGCTTAATTCTGAACACAGCTACATCCCCAGTTATAAGAGGGTGTGCACACTTATGCAACCACATTATTTTAGTTTTTTATATTTACTTCCCCTCCTAAAATATTACAGTTTATTCTTCAAATAAGTTGTACAGTTTATAGGTCACATAAAAGGTGGAAAAAGTTCTGAAATGATTTATCTTTGTCTCATTTATTAACATCACAGAAACCTGACATTTTAACAGGGGTGTGTAGACTTTTTATATCCACTATATATAATATATATACATATATATATATATATATATATATATATATATATATATATATATATATATAAAAAAAATATATATATATATATATATTTATTTATTTATTTTCAGATTATCCCCTAGAAAAATACAAAACCCCAAATAAACAACATAAGGAAAACAACATTAGCCATATATCACTTTGACCCCTACAGTTAAATACATTCAGCATTATGGTATCATGGATTATAAATACTACAGATGGACACAACCAAGGTGAAGTAAATTATGTTACTAAGGGGGAAATGTACTAAAATTGGTGCACACACAATTTGGTGCGGCTGTGCATAGTAACCAATCAGCTTCTAGGTTACAAGGTCAAAGCCTAACTGAACAAGCTGAAGCTAACTGGTTACTATTGCACCCAGATTCTGAGTGCTCCCATTTTGGTAAATTTACTCCTATGTCTCAAATAGAATTTCAAATAGGTACCTCCAATTAATAGATGTGACTAAAGGACATGATCCATGCTTCAGTATAGTTGATGTAGTGTGTTGTCCAAAGGATAAACACAGCATTCAGATTATAAAGTCAATCCTACAAAGCAATATAAACCACAGTATTGAAGACACGGGTCATCTTCCTGGTAAGCCCCAAGGGCTATAATCAAAATCTAAGCTTGGTAAATTCCCTCCATAGACTGAAAGCTCGTAAGGCAGTCCTCCAATGAAGTAAATTCACGCTAAATATCCTCAGTGAAACTCAATCCTTATAGCTTAGTGAGATCCACAACAAATAGTATAGGATGTCACTTACAAGAAAGGTCTTGTTTTTTCCATGTGAATGAAAGTATTTGTATAACTGCAAATGTCTATGGCTGAGGTTTCCTCATTTCCTATTTGGTGACACCTGTGGCCAGGTTAGGCCAGGGATCACAGACAGCAATAGAAATCTGACACATCTCTCTAAGAACAAAAAAAAAGGTTTTGACTGGAGTTGGGTTTAAAATGCCTTATTGTAATATTTTACCATAATCAATACAATATATTGTATGCAGTACTGTATGGATATATGCATTTAATGGGTTCTACAATATATACTTCTTAGTGCAAAATCACTCATATGAATATCTATTTGAAAAATGTTCCCATTGGGGTTTGTTGTCAATATAAAGTGTCCATGTCAAATGTTGGCCAATGCTACATTGTATTACAACACGCCATGTAGTTCTAAATAGTATCCAACCTTTCACAATGATGTATTTAAACTTCATCTGCTGCAAACAAATAAAATAAATGTGAAATGACAAAAGAAAATACAATTTTCTTTTACAATTTTCAAAACAGCAACTTAGAAAACCATAGAACATATGAAATATTATGATTATGAAAAGCCATGAAATTAGTGTGAACAGGTTATTTGAGCTCCATCTTTTATGCCATCAGTTTCAGATAGTTCCATGTATTCCATGCCAATGGACACAGACGTGTATCGAGGAATATATGAAGATCCTGATGAGCTAAGAACTCAAACTCTGAAAATAAAGCGAGAACAACTCCTGATAGCTGATATTGAACTGGGTTCAGGCAATTTTGGGACTGTGAAGAAAGGAATCTTTAAAAAACAACAAAGTAAGTGCATTAATGCATGTTAGATGCTAATTTCATATTGAAAGGATTTTCTACTTTTTCCTGCAATTTAAAATCTTCTTTCAAGCACATAGCTACAGATTTTATGCATTGTACCTCTCTCTTGCATAGCCTTAAACAAGAACACCCATGTCACCCAGGCATTCCTATTTATAGTTAACACAGGGCCAGAAGACAATTGTGTGACAATCAGATCACACTTACACATCCAAATGCTATGTCATGCCTATGGCTAGTTTTACAATAGTTAACATCATAACCTCCTAGATTGTAAGCTCCAAGGAGCAAGGCCCTCAAATCTCCTCTTGTATTGAACTGTATTGTTGCTGTATTGTATCCCACTATAATGTAAAGCGCTGAGCAAACCGTTGGCGCTATATAAATCCTGTATAATAATAACCTTTTGTGTTATAATCACACTCTTTATCAACTCAACTCCAAAATGTATTAAAGCAGAATTAAACTCCAATTTTTTAAAACCGCAGACTGGTAGGATTTTTATGACAGAAGAGACCCTAGTGGTCTCTTCTGCCATAAATGCGTCTCTCTGCCTGTCAGTGATAATATACACTTAGCCAAACATGCACAGCTCAAAATACAATCACAGCACTGCTCTGTGGCATGATGACTCTCAGGCACATGTGCAGGAGTGATATCATTGCAGACTGTCCATTCAAGTGGCTAAACAGAGCAAATCTGACAGGAAAAAGTAAAAGTGCCCGGGACAAGGTCAAGCACTGACACCGCATGTAAGTTTGTCATAACGGACTAAGTTGCTGGGGCATACTAGCACATTATGGCATAATATGCTTTGGGGAAACAATAAAAAAAAAAACTAAAATATATATATATATATATATATATATATATACAGTATATATACTATAGTGTCAAAAGTATTGGGATGCCTGCCTTTAGAGTTGGCCCATCCTTGGCAGCTATAACAGCTTTAACTCTTCTGGGAAGGCTGTCCGCAAGGTTTAGGAGTATGTCTATGGGAATGTTTGACCATTCTTCCAGAAGCGCATTTGTGAGGTCAGGCACTGATGTCAAATGAGAAGGCCTGGCTGGCAGTCTCTGCTCTAATTCATCCCAAAGGTGTTCTGTCAGGTTGAGGTCAGGACTCTGTGCAGACCAGTCAAATTCCTCCACCCCAAACTCTCTCATCCATGTCTTTATGGACCTTGCTTTGTGCACTGGTGCACAGTCATGTTGGAACAGGAAAGGGCCATCCCAAACTGTTCCCACAAAGTTGGGAGCATTAAATTGTGCAGAATGTCTTGGGATGCTGACGCCTTGAGAGTTTTCTTCACTAGCCCAACCCCTGAAAAACAACCCCACACTATAATCCCCCCTCCACCAAACTTTACACTTGGCACAATGCAGTCAGGCAAATACCATTCTTTTGGAAACCGCCAAACCCAGACACATCCATCGGATTGCCAGACAGAGAAGCATGATTCGTCACTCCACAGAATGCGTCTCCACTGCCATAGAGTCCATTGGCGGTGTGCTTTACACCACTGCATCCAACTGTATTTGGTGATGTAAGACTTGGATGCAGCTGCTCGGCCATGAAGCTGTCTATGCGCTGTTATTGTGGTAATTTGAAGGCCACATGAAGCTTGAAGGTCTTTAGCTATTGACTCTGCAAACAGTTGGCGACTTCTCTGTACTGTGCGCTTCAGCATGCACTGACCCCCGCTCTGTCATTTTACGTGGCCTACCACTTCATTGCTGAGTTGCTATTGTTCCCAGTTGCTTCCACTTATAATACCACTAACAGTTGACCGTGGAATATTTAATAACATGGAAATTTCACGCATGGACTTATTGCACAGGTGACAACCTATCATGGTACCACGCTTGAATTAACTGAGCTCCTGAGAGCGACCCATTCTTTCACAAATGTTTGTAGAAGTTGTCTGCATGCCTTGGTGCTTGATTTTTTACACCTGTGGCCATGGAGATGTTTGGAATACCTGAATCCAGTTATTTGGAGGGGTGTCCCAATACTTTTGGCAATATAAAACATGATATGTATCTACATATACATATACGTGCCGCGCTCCATAATAAACTCAACAACTCATATACTAGTGATAATTCAAACAATAACGTGAACAAAGTAAATGTGCTTCAAGCCAGTGCAACATGTAGTGCATATCAAAATAATGTTCATCCAATATTTAAAACAGTTTTATAAAAAGTCCTCTTTGTGCTTCTATAATATTTCAGTGACAAGTGAGGTGTATTGTGCCACACTCCCCGTGCTCTGTGGATAGGTGTGTGCGCTCACCTCCTTGTTAGCCAGACAAGCTGGCTAAACACACTTTTTGTCCTCACAGGACAAGGTGGGAATCTTTACTTTATATGCGTGTTTCCATCCATATTGTGGATTGCCTTATTTCTGCCACCAGAGGTCTCCCTCCTTCCACACTTTAGCCTCAATAGGTTTCTTTAGGGATGGTTAAGATGATTTCCTCCTCCCAGTGAACCATGTAAAAAAGAGCCACAGATAGTGCCTTATCCTTTGTGAGGCTTAGCCTATTTATTAGTAAGTAAAATCGCCACTCACATTATATACAGCAATGCTGTGTTCAGCTGATATGTGTCCAGATCCTATGTTTGTAAGCGCCGCTCGTCCACCGCGGCGTCGTGACGTCAGAGCCCCTCCCCTACGCGTTACGCCACAGGGTCATGTGGCTTCATCAGGGGGAAAACAATTGTTTTCCCCTGATGAAGCCACGTGACCCTGTGGCGTAACGCGTAGGGGAGGGGCTCTGACGTCACGACGCCGCGGTGGACGAGCGGCGCTTACAAACATAGGATCTGGACACATATCAGCTGAACACAGCATTGCTGTATATAATGTGAGTGGCGATTTTACTTACTAATAAATAGGCTAAGCCTCACAAAGGATAAGGCACTATCTGTGGCTCTTTTTTACATGGTTCACTGGGAGGAGGAAATCATCTTAACCATCCCTAAAGAAACCTATTGAGGCTAAAGTGTGGAAGGAGGGAGACCTCTGGTGGCAGAAATAAGGCAATCCACAATATGGATGGAAACACGCATATAAAGTAAAGATTCCCACCTTGTCCTGTGAGGACAAAAAGTGTGTTTAGCCAGCTTGTCTGGCTAACAAGGAGGTGAGCGCACACCTATCCACAGAGCACGGGGAGTGTGGCACAATACACCTCACTTGTCACTGAAATATTATAGAAGCACAAAGATGACTTTTTATAAAACTGTTTTAAATATTGGATGAACATTATTTTGATATGCACTACATGTTGCACTGGCTTGAAGCACGTTTACTTTGTTCACATTATTGTTTGAATTATCACTAGTATATGAGTTGTTGAGTTTATTATGGAGCGCGGCACGTATATGTATATGTAGATACATATCATGTTTTATGTTTATGTTTTTGCACAGATAATGAGTATTGTGTAAAGTGTTGATGCACCATTAGCTATATATGATTTTAGTCATTTATTTATCACGTTAAGGGGAGTATCACATTTTGGCTCAAGAGTAGTATTAATTACTTTTGGCAATATAGTGCATAGTTATATTTATTTATATATACACTGCTCAAAAAAAACACTTTGAAAACACATCAGATCTCAATGGGGAAAAATATCATTCTGGATATCTATACTGTCAAGGACTGGGTAATGTGTTAGGAATGTAAGGATGCCCCATCATTTGATGGAAATGAAAATTATCAACCTACAGAGGACTAAATTCAAAGACACCCCAAAAATCAAAGTTAAAAAAAATATGCAGGCTATTCCATTTTGTTAAAATTTCATTGCAGCAACTCAAAATTGTACACAGTAGTGTATGGCCCCCACATGCTTGTATGCATGCCTGATAATGTCGGGGCATGCTCCTAATGAGACAACGGATGGTGTCCTAGGGTATTTCATCCCCGATATGGACCAGGGCATCACTGAGCTTCTGGACAGTCTGAGGTGCAACCTGGCGAGTCGGATGGACCAAAACATGATATCCCAGAGGCATTCTATTGGATTTAGGTCATGCAAGCATGGGGGCCATTCAATGGTATCAATTCCTTCATCCTCCAAGAACTGCCTGCATACTCTCAACAAATGAGGCTGGGCATTGTCTCGCACCAGGAGGAACCCAGGACCCCCTGCACCAGTGTAGGGTCTGATAATGGGCCCAAGGGTTTAATCCCAATACCTAATAGAAGTCAGGGTGCCATTGTCTAGCCTGTAGAGGTCTGTGCGTCCCTCCAAGGATATGCCTCCGCAGACCATCACTGATCCACCGCCAAAACGGTCATGCTGAACGATGTTACAAGCAGCATAACATTCTCCGCAGCTTCTCCAGACCCTTTCACATCTGTCACATGTGCACAGGGGTGAACCTGCTCTCATCTATGAAAAACACAGGGCGCCAGTGGTGGACCTGCCAATTCTGGTGTTCAATGGCAAATGCCAATCAAGCTCTATGGTGCTGGGCAGTGAGCACAGGGTCCACTAAAGGACATCGGGCCCCCAGGCCACCCTCATGAAGTCTGTTTCTGATTGTTTGGTCAGAGACATTCACACCAGTGGCCTGCTGGAGGACATTTTGTAAGAGCAGATACCAATCCTGCTGATGGGCTAAGGACCTTCTATGGCCCTGTCCAGGTCTCCTAGAGTAACTACCTGTCTCTTGGAATCTCCTCCATGCTCTTGAGACTGAGAGAAACAGCAAACCTTCTGGCAATGGCACGTATTGATGTGCCATCCTGGAGGAGTTGAACTGCCTGTGCAACCTCTGTAGGGTCCAAGTATTGCCTCTTGCTACCAGTAGTGACACCGACTCTAGCCAAATGCAAAACTAGTAAAAAACAGTCAGAAAAGATGAGTAGGGGAAAAAAAATGTCAGTGGCCTGTAAAACCATTTCTGTTTCGGGAGTCGTCTCATTGTTGCCCACCTAGTGCACCTGTTGTTAATTTCATTAACACCAAAGCAGCTGAAACTGATTAACAACCCCCTCTGCTACTTAACTGACCAGATCAATATTCCAGGAGTTTAATTGACTTGATGCTATACTCTGGTTAAAAAGTGTTCCTTTAATTTTTTTGAGTAGTGTGTATATATATATATATATATATATATATATATATATGTCAGAGTTTAAATCTCCTTTAAATGAAATCATGTTTGCCAGAGCCAAACCAGGGGTGATGTGAAAACATAACAGCACTTTCTGATACAGGTTGGCTAATCTAATCATCTGCCTTGCAATTAGTGGCAGTGTTTTTGGCCTGTCATGTGTGTTCCTTTAGTTGCTTGTTGGTTTGCCTATCTGGTCTGGAAATACCTACTACAGATTTGATATGCAGCTATTATGGATATTTCTGGTTCAGACACTAAAAAGAAAACTGCAAGTGCAATTGCAAGAACAGATTGACAGGATGCAATCACTGTGTTTAAAGTATCTGTTCTCCCAAAATGTATTATTACATTCTATTTTATACAGAAGAAAGCGGGTGGTGTGAGATGTTATTAAAAACTAGCAAATATAATAATGTCATATTTCATATGTGTATGCCGTGTACCGGGGTGGGCTCCCCAGGAAACAGTGAAGTCACGAATGAGGAAAGCAACCCCAACACCAGCTTTTGTCACAACAGAATTTTACTTAGATGTGGCAAATAAACAAAACCACAAATGCTGGAATGTACAATAAATTTACATACACTCAGCCCAAAAGCAGAGACCCTTGTGCTGCACAGCACGGCGCTGTCTGATGGATGAAGGTAGAAAGTTTAGTAATTTACCTACTGGTGGGCACTAATAAGCTGCTACACCTTACCTGTTATTACCCTAAAAGAGCAGGAATCAGTGTATGGGTGTATGGTATGGGCTAGCCTGCGGTGCAGCACAACAGCTTACAATCTTACACAAATCTACAGTATTCCCTCTCCCATAACTGGTCCTGTAGCACATGCCTGAGTATTCCTTCTGAGCAAAACGCCAGTCTGGCTTGAGTTTGTAGGATTTTATCTGCTCTCCAATGTGAAATGTCACTTAAAGTTGTGGAGTCCTTCCAATGATCAGTAATACCACTTGTGGCCTGACACAAACAGAGACCCTAACTAACTATAGGCCTGTCTCAGTCTCTGGAGGTGCCAACAATGAAATGAGGTGCGTGCACGATCTTACCGACCCGGGTCTGCTTTGCATCCGCTGATGACTCTGAACAGAACAGATGTCTCTCCACTAAGCGTGCAATATTATCAGCAATGTATGTTGCTTTGCTCCTCTGTCCTCATCAGCTTCCTGGCAGCAAATCTTCCCCTCTTTGCACAGGATTAGCGTCTTGAACACCATCAGCTTCACTCAATGGGATGTCTGATTACGGAGGGCAGTCTCCACAGCTGGATGGCAACGGATTCTCCGATCACTCAGCCTTCTTCTCTCTCTCTCTCTCAAGTATGGCTTCTCTTTTCTCTTCCTGTTCACTCTCTCTGAGAAAACCCCACCCCTTATTGAATATCAAAATAGCTATGCAGTCTGAGGCTGCGTTAGAAACTGACATCTTGTGGCTAAACTGCAGAATGTCAGTCAGAACATTTTTAATTTACTTCAATCAGTGTTCAAACAATGAAAGCTGTTTTCCCATCTCACATATGTCACAAAACTATGACTAACAGTTGCAAAACTAAAACCATTGGGTAAAAAGAGAGAACCTGTAGCAAAACTTAGACTGTGTTTTAAGTGGAGGGCACAGAGACATTGCAACATTGCAAGCAAGATGGAGTCTCTTGTGCTTAAATGAACAATACAGCAAAAGTCTATGTCAGCAGCCCAACATCCAAATGAAAGAGTGCACACAGCATGCTGACAACACTGCTGCTAATTGCAAAGCAACAGCTAGCTTTGGCAGCCTGCAACAATAAGTGCAGTTCCTAGCAAGATCTGTGCAACATCTTATCACATTGATAACATCCCCAGCCCTCCCGCAGCCACAAAGAAAAAAAGAACTCTAACAAAAGGGTAACAAACATTAGTCATTGTAGAAAATAAATTGGTTCTTGACTTCTGACTATTTGCTCAGACACCAGTGATTTCAGTGGGCTTCATTGCTACCTACCAGTTATGCTGGGAGCTCAAAAGAATGTGATCCAGACAGTTGGGAGGTACGACTATGACAGAGATAGCTATAACTTCAACACAATTAATGCTACAGCCTATGAATCTCACCAATTCCTGGACAACCAGTGCAGTTTAGGGTACTAGTGTATATATACAGTGGATATAAAAAGTCTATACACCCCTGTTAAAATGTCAGGTTTCTGTAATTATTATTATTTTATGTAAAAAAATGAGAAAAAGATAAATTGTTTCAGAATTTTTTCCACCTTTAATGTAACCTATAAACTGTCCAACTCAGTAGAACTACAAACTGAAATCCTTTAGGTGAAGGAAAGTAAAACTAAAAAACTAAAAAAAAAAGGTTGCATAAGTGTGCACACCCGTAAACTAATACTTTGTTGAAGCACCTTTTGATTTTATTACAGCACTCAGTCTTTTTGGGTATAAGTCTATCAGCATGGCACATCTTGCCTTGGCAATATTTGCCCACTCTTCCTTGCAAGAACACTCAAAATCTGTCAGATTGCGAGGGCATCTCCTGTGCACAGCCCTAATCAGATCATTCCACAGATTGGATTCAGATCTGGGCTCTGGCTGGGCCATTCCAAAACTTTAAACTTCTTCTGGTGAAGCCATTCCTTTGTTGATTTGGATGTGTGCTTGGATCATTGTCATGCTGAAAGATGAAGTTCCAATTCATGTACAGTTTTCTAGCAGAAGCTTGAAGGTTTTGTGCCAATATTGACTGGTATTTGGAACGGTTCATAATTCCCTCTACCCTGACTAAGGCCCCAGTTCCAGCTGAAGAAAAACAGCCCCGAAGCATGATGCTGCCACCACCATGCTTCACTGTGGGTATGGTGTTCTTTTGGTGATTTGCAGTGTTGTTTTTTCACCAAACATATCTTTTGGAATTATCGCCAAAAAGTTCAACCTTGGTTTTATCAGACCAGAACACATTTTCCCACATGCTTTTGGGAGACTTCAGATGCGTTTTTGCAAAATTTAGCCGGGCTTAGATGTTTTTCTTCGTATGAAAAGGCTTCCATCATGCCACTCTACCCCATAGCCCAGACATATGAACAATACGGGAGATTGTCGTCACATGTACCACACAGCCAGTACTTGTCAGATATTCCTGCAGCTGCTTAAATGTTGCTGTAAGCCTCTTGGCAGCGTCCCAGACCAGTTTTATTCTCGTCTTTTCATCAATTTTGGAGGGAAGTCCAGTTCTTGGTAATGTCACTGTTGAGCCATATTTTCTCCTCTTGATGATGACTGTCTTCACTGTGTTCAATGGTATATCTAATGCCTTGGAAATCATTTTGTACCCTTAGCTGGACTGATACCTTTTAACAATGAGATCCCTCTGATGCTTTGGAAGCTCTCTGCGGGCATGGCTTTTGCTGTAGAAAGTGACTAAGAACATGTCAGGAAAGACCTACTAGAACAGCTGAACTTTATTTGGGGTTAATCAGAGGCACGTTAAATGATGGCAGATGTGTACTGACTCCTGTTTAACATGATTTTGAATGTGATTGCTTGATTCTGAAAACAGCTACATTATAAGAGGTATAAGGGGGTGTGCACACTTATGCAACCACATTATTTTAGTTTTTTATGTTTACCCCCGAGCTCCCCTATAAGATTTCAGTTTGTTTATCAATTGAGCTTTACAGTTTATAGGTCACATTAACGGTGGAAAAAGTTCTGAAATTATTTATCTTTATCTCATTTTTTTACATTGTGCTTAAATGTATTACTCCACAAAATAAGCAGCAGCAGCTGGAATAACAACTACATAAATGTGGACACTTAGCATCCCAACTTAACTCTATTCCAATCAACAGATCTGAAAAGAAAGTTGCCGTGAAGATTCTTAAGAATGACAGCAACGACCCTTCCACCCAGGAGGAGCTGCTTACTGAAGCAAGGGTCATGCAACAGTTGGATAACCCATACATTGTCAGAATGATCGGAGTTTGTGAGGCGGAGGCTTGGATGTTGGTTATGGAGCTTGCAGAATTAGGACCATTAAATAAGTTTCTAGCTAAGAACAGGTACTCAAAGTGTTTCTGTAATAATATCCTTTTAACATAAAGAAGGCATACAAATGTATTTTATAAGAATGTGTTTAGATTTCTAATTATGTTGTACTGTCAATCTGAAAGTCGGTATGGCATTTACATTTATGTATGTTTCCAGTGTTATATTTTTCAATTAATATTAAATTGCAACCACTAGGTAGGCTGTCAATCAGCATCTTTGTCCATAAGAATTATAAGATACTTTATCTAAACCCAAGAACGGGGGGGGGGGGAGTATCTGACGAAAGACTGAGAGATAGATAGATAGATAGATAGATAGATAGATTTGATTCAATTGCTTGCATTCTATACCATCAATGTTATTGTCAAGTTGAAGAAGCATCATTCGACATTGCATGGTGTATACTCTTATTATTAAAGAAATTCTACCCCCTGGAAAAGAAAATGTGACCCAAAAGCCTTGTTAGAAATAAAATGATTTGTTATACAGTATGCACATGGAAAAACTTCTCAGTCTCTATTAACTATAAATGTAATACAAAATGTCTTCACTAGAAAACATGACTGACTGGTATATACTGATGTATAATTAGGGTTTTAATCCTGTTTGTCAGGGATGTCTCAGACAAGAACGTAACAGAACTTGTTCATCAAGTTTCCATGGGAATGAAGTATCTGGAAGAAAATAATTTTGTCCACAGGGATTTGGCGGCCAGAAATGTGCTTTTGGTGACTCAGCATTATGCCAAAATTAGCGATTTTGGGCTTTCAAAAGCTATTCAGTCTGATGAAAATTATTATAAAGTAAGTGTTCTCCTTATTGTTTTCCATGTTTGGACGTCATCATTACTTTTATTTTCATATTAACAAAAGAAAACAAAGGATTGATATTAGATTGCATATTTTTCTTTTGGGTTAAGTCTATGTTAAAGAAGAACTCCACAAAAGTTGATTATCTAGGACATGCACCAGAAGCAGGTTTATACATTTTGATTGTGTACCCCTAATGCTGCCCCATTCTGAAAGACTCTAGACTGTGTCAGAAAATTTTCCACAAAGTTTCAAGGGGAAATGTGCTTTCAAAAAGGGACACAGTTGTGCAGCAAACATTTAAATTTGTTCAGTTAAAATGGTCCTAAAGGTAAAATGTTTTTGACCTTAATGCATTCCCTGTGTTAAGGTAAAAAAAGTTTGCCTCTTGCTGTGCCCTTAAATACTTACTTGAGTCCTGTATCGATCCATTGTGTCCATCTGCCAGTCTTCTCTTCTCTCTCCCTGCTCTCACAAGCTTGGCTGAGAGCAATGGAAGCCATTGAAATTCCAGGTTGGCAAAAAGTATGGTAGGAAGCTTTGTCAACTATAGACCCCAACAGATATTGAAGACCAGTTGGGTATTCATCCCACCAAACTCCACCTCCAACTGAAATATAACTTTAAAAGTAAAGTGATCTCTTGAAACAGGAAAGGCTGTAATTCAGATATCCTCTGCTACACAAACACACACACACACACACATATATATATATACACACACTATATTGCCAAAAGTATTGGGATGCCTGCCTTTACACGTGCATGAACTTTAATGGCATCCCAGTCTTAGTCCATAGGGTTAAATATTGAGTTGGCCCACCCTTTGCAGCAATAACAGCTTTAACTCTTCTGGGAAGGCTGTTGTCAGGGCTCCCGGTAAGACTAGAGATGCGTGAACTGACACAGGAAACGCAGGCTCAAGTATGGTATAACAATATAATTTATTAAGGGTTATACACAAATATAACGCACAATATAACAAAACAAAACTTCTAACTGATAACGGCATGTACACAGACAAGAGCAGTCAGGGCTGGTGAGGTGGGAGTGGTCAGGAATCATCGGGCAGACAAGACACAAAGGAGTAGGCAGAGCGTAGTCAGATGGGCCGGGTCAGGAACAATCAGGCAGACAAGGTACCAAAGGAGCAGGCTGGAGAGTGGTCAGGAATAGAGATGAGCGAATCGAACATGGCGAAGTGGAATTCGTTTCGAAGATCAGGAAAAATTCGATTCGCGCCGAATCCGAAAATTAGCAAACTTCGGATGCACGAATCGAATTTTCCCAAAAATGGCGGCGACATGTGTGGCGACGGGGGAGGCGGGGATCTCTGGGAAGGCGCGCAGACAAGGCGCGCTGACCCATAATGCATTCATTCATGACATGTGATTGCATTAGCCAATCAGCCAGCCAGCCAGCCAGCACTGTGTAATGGTGGAGCTATAAATTGCGGCCATCTTAGAATTCTCCATTAGCCTCCGGTCATTCAAGAGAGACAGACCTGTCTGTATTAGGGACAGAGTTAGGGCCACACTTTAGGGACTTTAGGGCCACAGAATCGTTACTTAGGGACACAGAATCGTTTACAGAATTGTTACTCAGGGACACAGAATCGTTACTCAGGGACACAGAATTGTTACTCAGGGACACAGAATTGTTACTCAGGGACACAGAATTACTCAGGGACACAGAATTGTTACTCAGGGACAGACAGGGACACAGAATTGTTACTCAGGGACACAGAATTGTTACTGAGGGACACAGAATCGTTACTCAGGGACACAGAATTGTTACTCAGGGACACAGAATTGTTACTCAGGGACACAGAATTGACACAGAATCGTTACTCAGGGACACAGAATTGTTACTCAGGGACACAGAATTGTTACTCAGGGACACAGAATTGTTACTCAGGGACACAGAATGTTACTCAGGGACACAGAATTGTTACTCAGGGACACAGAATTGTTACTGAGGGACACAGAATCGTTACTCAGGGACACAGAATCGTTACTCAGGGACACAGAATTGTTACTCAGGGACAGACACAGAATTGTTACTGAGGGACACAGAATGTTACTCAGGGACACAGAATTGTTACTCAGGGACACAGAATTGTTACTCAGGGACACAGAATTGTTACTCAGGGGACACAGAATTGTTACTCAGGGACACAGAATCGTTACTGAGGGACACAGAATTGTTACTGAGGGACACAGAATTGTTACTCAGGGACACAGAATCGTTACTGAGGGACACAGAATTGTTACTCAGGGACACAGAATTGTTACTCAGGGGACACAGAATCGTTACTCAGGGACACAGAATTGTTACTCAGGGACACAGAATTGTTACTCAGGGACACAGAATGTTACTGAGGGACACAGAATCGTTACTCAGGGACACAGAATTGTTACTCAGGGACACAGAACGTTACTCAGGGACACAGAATCGTTACTGAGGGACACAGAATGTTCGTTACTGAGGGACACAGAATTGTTACTCAGGGACACAGAATTGTTACTCAGGGACAGTTACTCAGGGACACAGAATTGTTACTCAGGGACACAGAATTGTTACTCAGGGACACAGAATTGTTACTCAGGGGACACAGAATTGTTACTGAGGGACACAGAATCGTTACTGAGGGACACAGAATTGTTACTCGGGGACACAGAATTGTTACTCAGGGACACAGAATCGTTACTCAGGGACACAGAATCGTTACTCGGGGACACAGAATTGTTACTCAGGGACACAGAATTGTTACTCAGGGACACAGAATTGTTACTCAGGGACACAGAATCGTTACTCAGGGACACAGAATCGTTACTCAGGGACACAGAATTGTTACTCAGGGACACAGAATTGTTACTGAGGGACACAGAATTGTTACTGAGGGACACAGAATCGTTACTAGGGACACAGAATTGTTACTCAGGGACACAGAATCGTTACTCAGGGACACACATTGTTACTCAGGGAAATTGTTACTCAGGGACACAGAATTGTTACTCAGGGACACAGAATCGTTGAATTGAATTAAAGAGTATGTCAGACAACACGCAGAGGAGTGGCAGAGGAGGCAATGTTTCAGGAGCGAGCAGACGTGGCAGCAGAGGAAGGGGTCGAGGCAGCACTAGTCGCAGCCAGAGGCCAGTGCTCCCGGTGTCATCCAGCGGTCGTGTCTCCACCGACAACCCTGCCGTCATCGATTGGTTGGCTCGGTCGTCTTCCTCTTCCCAGGTCACCTCTGACACCTACAGCCAACGGTCGGTGGGTACGTCAGACACAACCGTTAGTTGGCATGGCCCGGGAGCAAGCCCACTGAAATCACGTGTCCTCTACCTGCCCTGTCCTTTGGTGTTCCCTCACCAAGCGAAGTATCGCATGCTGTGGGCTCAGCCCCACTGTACAGTGAGGAAGAGCTAACAGAGGGCGGTCAGGAACGGGGGGAGACATCCGCCTCTTCAGCAGCCAGGCGAAGAAGTACTGGCGAGGAGAGTGGCTCGGTAGCCGGTCTAGAGACAGGTCTGTCTCCTGACCCACACGCAGCCGAGGGGGCTAGTAGTGAGGCGGAGACCCTAATTGATGATGATGAGGCTGATCGCACTTGGCAGCCTCGTCGTCATCAGGCTATTGCTTCCGCATCATCAGGAGAAGAGGGTGCCAGCTTGGCAGCGAGCAAAACAGTCGGTGGGTTGCCCAGGAGGCAGCAGGGTCGCAGCAGTGTCAGTGGAGGCAAACGGCCACGGAGTAGAGCACCGCTCCACTGCAGCCTACCACCACGGCCAGTAGTGGTGCCGGTGTGCACGGAGGAAGTAGCAGTCAGCCAGTGAGGAGTAGCGGGGGCAAAGTTTCCTACTCGGCGGTGTGGCAATTTTTTGTCAAGCCGCCCGAGGAAGTAAACGTAGCCGTATGTCGACTATGTGGCCAGAAAGTCAAGCGTGGCCAGGGGGCCCATGTTGGGACTACAGCGTTGCGTCAGCATATGCAGCGTCGCCATTCGGTGGCCTGGGAAAACCGTGATAAAGATACGGCGGTTCTGCCTGCCCCAGCCCCCGCTCCATCACCCGCTCCGTTACTTGCTCCGTCACCCGACGTCAATCGCCCTCTATCAGCCAGTCAAGGCTCCAACACCTCTGCTGAGGGGAGTTGTCGCTCGTTGGCATCTTCCGCTCGTTCAGATGCTCCTTCTCCTGCTACTCCTCTTCACGGATTCCGTCAGCAGTCTTTCTTGGAATCCGTTTCCAAGAGACAACAGTTTGCGAGCACGCACCCGACGGTGCAGAAGCTGAACGTCCTCCTGTCCAAGTTGCTGGTGCTGCAGTCCCTCCCTTTCCAAGTGGTGGACTCAGCACCTTTCCGAGAAATGATGGCTTGTGCCGAGCCGCGGTGGAGAGTGCCAAGCCGGCATTTCTTCGCCAAAAAGGCAGTGCCAGCCCTGCATTCACATGTAGAAGAGATGGTGGGCCAGTCTTTGAGCATGTCGGTCTCTGCCAAAGTGCACGGCAGCGCCGACGTGTGGAGCTGTAACTACGGTCAGGGACAGTACATGTCATTTACGGCCCACTGGGTGAACGTGGTGCCGGCACAGCCGCACCAGCAACTTGGACAGGTCACGCCGCTTTTGCCTCCACGTTTGCACGTCCTTGGTCCAGCAAAGATGTCCGCCTCTACCACCTCTTCTTCCGCCGTGTCCTCAGCCGCCACCCCCGTGCCAAGTCCCATTACCCGACCGGCATATCACATGTGCAGGGCGCAACGGTGTCACGCTGTGCTGCACCTGGTATGCCTTGGCGAACGTAGTCACACAGGGGAGGAACTTCTGAGTGTAATGAACAGAGAAATCGACAGATGGCTGTCTCCGCGCAAACTGAAAATCGGAACCATGTTGACCGACAACGGAAAGAACATGGTGTCTGC